ATTTATTTTCGCCGCTATTGCTTCGCTTGGCACATGGCCAACTCTCTTTTTCATCTATTCGGTGCAGTCATAACGGCTGGCGTACGGCGCCGCTGCACGGTTAGTTGCAGCTTCTGCACACCGCTATTGATTTTCTGGTACTTTTGTGCGAGCTCGTTCAAAAATGGCTGTTTCATTTCATGCCAGCCGTTGTGCACGAGATGTTGTGCCTGCTGACTGTGTCAAACTAATATTGTTCCCGTCTATGATTGGTGAATTTTTGTCGCGTGAACCATTTGTCGGACCATTTGTCACAGTACAGTGTCATTTGGAAGGAGCCGAACGGAAGGCCATCCGCTATGCGCTTGTTTTCGATGGCGTCTTTGACGCTTTTTGTCAAACTATTCGTCGTCTCGTCGTCGTCGTCGTTCAACGGCAGCTGCTCGTGCTCAATTTCATGACCTCTTGTTTTCTCGTGCTCTCTGTTCTACGACACAATCATGAATGGCGCCGAAGGTCGCGCTCTGGGGAATTGGTCTTGCTAAATCTTGGTTTTCTGTCACGGTTCACTGGATATTTTAGCATGACGTCAGAGCCGGTTCAGCTACATAATGGCTCCCCCCCATACAGGTCTCGGTTCCTGTCAACCGTGAGGCTAGACAATTCAGCGTTTTGTAGTGCTGTCTGGGAGCTTTCCCCATGCACACTATTATAACACATGGTGCAGTACAGGTGGAAGGGGCACGCCGTATTTTTTGAATACGGTAAGCGCAAAATGCATGTAACCCCGCCTCCAAATGACCAGAAATTGTGTTGCAGAAAGTGACGTGGTATTAACGCATCGACAAAACAACGTCTTTGAGCACACGTGACGTCACCTTTTTGTTGAGAATGTAGCCATGCATAATGCCACGTCAATTTCTGCAATTGCACAATTTCTGGTAATTTGAAGGCGAGGGTAGGTGGTCACTGCTGCAGCTATTGAGGTGTCACGAGAATTAGGGAATTCGTGAGCCAGGGGGAATGATGCCTATTCAGGGGGTGGAGGAGGTCACTTGACATGCGTGAAAAGTTGGAATGTGTTAGTATCTTCATAAGTTTCGTGACGTCCTAGTAATGGGCACCGCTCTCCAGTTACATACATTTTGCGCCTACCGTACTCAAAAAATGCGGCGCTCATTCCATTTCGTTTGAGCCAGGGTCAATCGTCACGTTCGCACTTTTTCAAGAATTTTGCGACTCCCCCCCCCTACCACCATCATCAGTCTAAGGAGGTCCCCCGATACGAGGGGGGAGACTGATGCCATAAAGCGGCGAATTCCTCCAATTTTGTTTACTTCACGCTGCTTTCCTAGAACTCTCACCAAGTTCTCCAAAAAACCCGTCTAATGGCAACAGCTTTCAACGACCTCCGTTCCCATTATGGCAAGCTTCCTAGACCCCAAGATACGCCCCTCGTTCGAATAGTGCGAACGGACGGTTGACCCTGGTTTGAACCCATCTCGCTAGTCCTTTATTTCCCTCAATTGGCTTTGTCCAAATCCGTACAAGGTGTATGCTTTTCCACCTCACGTACTGTCGGCAATCCGTGCCAATGAAAGGGCACATCGTAATGGTGGGCAGGAAGCTGGACGAGCGAGGCTGGCCTGAATGTCGCCAGTTTGGTGGCCCATGTGTCGTCCCATCTGCTTTCGCGGGGTTTGCGATCGGCGAAATTCAAGAAGCTTTTCCCATACACTGTGTGTGTTACACTGAAAGGTAACTCGAAACGTGCAACACAGGAATACGAGAGAAACAGGAGGACGAGTTGTGGTGAGTCGTTGTCCGGCAGGGACGAGCAAAAATGTACGAACTCGTCCACACGTCCACCTGGTGACGGTTTTGGCGCCAATTGGGCGTCAGTGCCCGCCCCCACGCTGACCTCATCGCTAACGGCGTTTTGTACTGGATCGATAGCCGGCTCCACCCATCACAGCTCTCGGGCACCGTCACAGCCCCAGTCCCGTCCCGGCTGCAGTGCACATGCCCTGGGGCGGTGCTGTGACGACGACGATCACGCCGGCTGGCCGTCCCATTGTGCCCTTGACAGCCCACGATTGTGTCCTGCTGTTCCACATTCACTTCAATCGGATCCTCTTTGCGGGCCCGAACAAAAACAATTCTCAATCACCCCCGCGCTTCGCGCAATTCACCACCATCAATTAGTAATGAAGCTGTGAATGCTTGCGCATCGATTCGCCATCAAAACGCGACGCCTTCTGGACTCCAGTTCTACCCATTGGCGCGTCTACTTCGTTCCGAGGGCTAAGCTGACCCCATCGGACGTGTGAGGGCTCTCGACGTAGCCGTTAATGGCCGTCAGGTCGTCGCGAATTGGGTGGCTATGTGTGTGTTGTGTTTGTGGGTGGTGTGGGTGCGTGAGCAGCGAAAGACAACTTTTGATTGGTGGGAGAGTTGCGAGGGATATCGATCGCTACGTTGAGGGTCGCCCGCTCCATCTCACACTCACACTCGCCCTCAACCCAACTCACAATCGTCGGTGACAGCTCAGTCACTTGATCTGGATCGCCCAGACACCAATTCATAGTCCCACTCTTGACCCATTCAAAGTTCTCTTTTCCGCCTCCTTCACGACTCGTCACGTCATGTCGCATTCACCACGGCCACGGCCACGGCACAACATCCCGATGGCTCTCGTTATTTGCTATTCTTCTGAGCCACGATATCCCCAGTTGTTTGCGTGCAACCATCCGAAAATTCCTCTTCTATCTCTCTAGGGGGATGTAAATCATCGCCTCGTTTTTGCTGTTTCCTTCGTTGACTTGTTCTGAAATTCCTCTACTGCTGGAAATTCGTTTGTCTCGTTCTGCTCGTACGTTTTGCTTTCCCTTCGTTGGCTTTGATTAGACGAAGAGATCGGCTGCACTGGCTGCTCCGGCCTCCGACCGGAAACTGAATTACGCTGTTTAGTGGACGCATACGGGTGACAATCCGCCTAGTTGGAATCCTCTTAATCGTTATCCTTACATAATCTCTCTGAACCTGTCACATTGTTAATCATGGTCCGTTTACTTCATATTATCAATTTGTCAGCGCAGGTGATCTTGAATTTTATTTTTGTAGCGCTATCACAAGATGCGGGGGCATTGTAGTGGCAGTGCATTTAAAATCGCGTAAAACATCTCTTTTCTGTTAAAAACGGGGCATAACCCCAGACGGGTTGGTAGAGACTTTGAGGTACGGGAGAAGTTCTCATTTTCCCCGAAAATTTTCATTTTTCATTTCTTCCTGTCCCTTCAGCCTTCCTCCCCCAGTTCTAGAGGGTGCTCCCGTATCTTGTGATAGCATTCTGCTCGTCATTTTTTTCTTAAGAATTATGAGGGTGCAGTACCAGAGGTGTTCTGACTGACGAATTGTGAACGCCATCGCAAGATCGGGGGCATCCCCTAAGATCAAGCCTAGGAGGGGCCAGGAGCTTCGGGGAAAAATTGCTCACGCACCTGGGGGTTTCTCTTCTCCCGTCTGGGGTTAGGTCCCGTTTTTAGCAAGGAGGAGATTTTTTACATGATTTAAATTCATCGCCACTTCAATGCCCCTGCATCTTGCGATAGCGCCACGAAAAGTGAACGAACCTTAGGATCACTTATGTCTTAAAAATTAATAATACGAAGTAAAAGCAGCATAATTTTGTTGTTGAAAATTACTCGTGTGTTCTGGAGTCTTTCCTCGTTCGCCTAAGACTTGGTCCTGATTTCAAGAAAAGTTAGACATAACCTCCCCTTCAAAAAGCGAGAAAGTGTCGGTGCAGACCAAACACCACAACTGACGACGGCCTCCAAGTAAATCTGGTTAGAAGTTGTTCATAGTGATAGCTGATTTCTGGTAAATGATAGTTGTAATTAGTGACAATCGATAGAATACAACTGCAACAGGCTAATCATTTCATTGGCAGAAAACATTAACATTTTGTGAAGGCCGTCGTCACTTGTGGTGCATGGTCTGCACCCGACACTTTCTCGCTTTTTGAAAGGGAGAGTATTTACACGGTTTTAAATGCATTACCACTTCAATGCCCCCGCATTTTGCGATAGCGCGGAACTGTGTAAACTCAGCTCACTGCGTTTGTACTGTGGTCCTTAACCTATTCGTTTTTGCTAAGTATTCATATGTGCAACGTTTGCGTAAACGATGTCAATGGATACGGCTGAGAATGACAGGGCTCTTGATGTTTGGCAAATATGAGCGCGTCTGTCGCCCTTTGAGTGCAGTTCTCAGGGGTTGCCGATCTGAAGTCAAGTTCTCGAATATATCAAACTCCGTTCGACATCTGCATTTCCGCATTTCCGCGAATTCTTTTTCGTGCGTCGGGCCGGATGGCTTAAACGTTTCCCATTTATTAGAGCTGAAGAGAATTCCCGGACGTGTTTTGAAATTGCGGAGGCGGTGAACAAGAGGCCAGCAGAGCTTGTTCATTTTGTCGTCCTCTGTCATGGATTGTTCTTGGTGAAGACGAAAGCCCTCCATTAATTGTGTTCCATTGGCCGCAGCTGGACACATTCACTATCCCGGGCACATCCTAGCGCGCTCATTGATCTTTCCACGCTACATTTTTCTCTTTTACTGACTTTCACTTTAATAAATATCCACGGTCCTTTTTTATAGCGTTGCACTTGTGGCGCTCTCTTTGCCATTCTTAAAAAACGATTTTGAAATATTTTCATTCCCCAGAGGGCTCTATAAATTCTCGAAGAGTTTTGAACTTTGCTTGTGGTCACAGACATCTTCAAATAAGTTTTTGTTGCAGTCCAGACGCACCGGTGAACCGAGTTACGGTAACATCAGATCTTGTTCTACCGGAGTCTCCAAGTCCGATTTCACCACCAAATCAAATAGAAGAAATCCGCAGGGTTACAATTAGTCCACCTCTCCACTCAAAGTGAGTTTTTTGATAATTAGACCCGCTCTGGTTCGGTAGACTTTCTTCACCGATGTATTCTCAACGAGCAATTGGATTTAGAAAAATGGCTGAACACGAAAATCCATTTCGACCGGAGGAGGTGTTGTACCATGAAGTGGATCCGATCGTGGAGCAGTACATGCAGAAACCATTCCCCCCAAGTCGACCAGGAAGTGCAGAGAACACGCCTGTGAAGCAACAAAAGGATGGGTAAGAACCTCTTCAAAAAAAACGCTTGAAATTCATGGGGTGAAATTTTTATTTTCAGCTCATTATCATCTCCAGCTTACCTACAAAATGGTTTATCAAAGGAGCAGTTAATGGACAACGAGAAGGCACAGTCGCAACCACTTCTGTCTTCAGATCAACGACAATCGAGTCCAGAAAAGAAGTACGTGATTCGTTCTGCCACAGTGACGGGTAGCATTCTGTAAAGTCGCTAAGATGTGCTAAAGAAGAATCGTCCCCGGAGAATTCTCGCTTCTTTTCCAACATGAATATGTCAGTTGTGGTCACTAGAGACAACGTAGAAAGTTCCACGCAAGAATTCAATTTCGGGAAAAAAAATCGAAACTAGGAAAACTTACTCTGGGGCGCGGGTATGTCGGGCGGAGGCAAGGGAGCGGTGTGGAGAGAAGTGCG